AACTTGGCAACATCTCTTCTCTCCCCTGGCTCTCCGGTGTGTGAAGACACCGTGCTATAGTTCCTATCTTTAAAGTCACCCAGTGCCTCTCTACATCATAGATGATTATTGTCCTCCCACATCTTCGCCAGAGCAAAAAACGAACCGTACACCAGCAGGACGAAAAGAAACTGTAGTGATTTGTAGTCAAGTGATTTTCTCCAACATTTTGAGCAAATTCAGATGAACCACAGCTACCAGAGTTTACCTGTCAATAGTGTATTAAGTTAGCTGCCCCCAAGATCAACCATTATCAAAGCTTCTGATTAGTCTAAACCTCGTTCATCAGCATTACTCAGTTATCTCTTAAAGTCAGTCTATCTAAGAAAGCTGCAAACAGTACTTAGCACCATTATGGCCTCCATCACCCAGTCATCCCAGCCCGAGATCCCAGACAACCACAAAGAGAGCTGGCTGGCGCTACTTTCCGCTGCGGAGACGTATTGCCAAAAGTCTGGCTGCGACTTGGCCATACTTACAGCCTGTAAGAAGTTCCGGTTGTCGGCTGGAGACGTAGACGGGAGGAGGAGCGGCAGTGCCTTTCCTAAGGAGTGTGATTTCTCCTACAATGTATGGGGTCAGGGGTTTCTGGCCGAGTCGGCGCGCCGCTACATGGACGACATCGGCGTGCTGCACTCCACAACCATGCTAACAGCCCAAAAGCACACACGCCAGGCAGTAGGAGAGGGAGGAACCAAGCTGATGGTTGACCTGACCTCAGACCCCGGACACAGGGGGGTGAGTGGCCTGCGTGTGCTGCACTGTAATTATAGTCACTCAAAATGTTCACAGCCATAATATTTTCTTTCTGTCGTTCCAGAACTTCACAGGAGACGGAGGGGTGGGGGGAGTCAGTCCCAACGGCAGACTGTACTCCCAAAGCTACCCGTCAATCTACAGCTCAGGAGCTGTGACCGGGCAGGGCACCGGGCAGAACGGTAACGGAGAGAGGGAACGGGAGAAGGATGTCCTGGAGGCCGAGCAGGGGAGACAGAGGTCAGGGATTGTGGACTTGGAAGAAGAGTGTGAGGACGAGGAGGAGGAGGAGGAGGACATGGATGAGAGGAGACCCTATGGGAATGAAAGCGCTGGTGAGGAGTGAAGCAGTTAATCTGTGTCTTTAAATGCTTTCATGCGCATGGATTCTGAGGATTTATCGTCGTTCTGCTTCAGGTGTCTTCTCCATGGACGAGGACTCTCTGTCCCGGGACTGCGAGCCGTTCTTTGAGTCCGACGGGGAGGAAGAGAGCACCGATGGTAAGAGTTTGGTGTGCTGACTAAAAGTAGTCACATTAGATAAGACATTATCCCCATACGTGTTTTCTACCTGTCCTAGGCTCTTTGAGCGAGGACGCTCCTCCGCCGCCACGTGGCATGGCTATGGGTCAGGCCTCGTACTCGTCCCGTCACGCCCACCCCATGGCTCTGGCCCGCTCGCTGCCCGTATCTGTGCCTGTGTGGGGCTGCAGAGGAAACCGATCTGCTCAAGGAGAGGGCAACAGTGGAGAACGGGTGAGCACATATCATTTTACAGAAAGAGAGCTGCTGGGCTGCATGCAGAGATTAAAATGTCCAGGGGCCTGTGTCACGCAGCGAGATGAGTGGGATAGCCAGAAATCTTTGGGCTCAACTCGAGCTTTATGATAGCATGATGCTGGCTTACTACTACTCAGATCACTGGAGGTTTACAGTAAATTGACGGTGATAAAGATCAAAGGGTGACATTTTGCATTGCATTGCCTATGATAATTATATCAGAGATAGTGTCGAGAACAGGGTTAATAACAAACAGATCATTTACCACACTGACAATGGCACTATGTTCCAGACAGCCCGAGGGGACCTTCTGGTATTAAAACTGTTTAGACATTGCAAATTTGAAATGCAACATTTTGCTAAGATTTATTTTCTTCAAGCCTTTCTTCATTTGTCCTTTTCCTTTCTGTTCATGCAGCAACAGTTCAACTTAATTGGAAGAGTTTTTAACATATTACCCACTGATAACAGATCAAAACAGTATTGTAAAACTGTGAAACCAGGTAACCCAAAGAGAATCAGACTAAGTTGAACCTGCTTCATGACACAGGCCCCTGGTGCACTAATACGAAACTGTGAGAACTACTCAGTTAGCAGTCATTCAGTAATTCCAGTACCGGCCTGTTATGAAATAATTACAGAAACTTAGTGCTGATTACAGCTGTGTGCTTACTAAATATCAAAATAAGAATAGGAGGTTGCAGCTCTATATTATTTCTGATTGAGAATAGACGTACTGATCAGTTTTCCAGCAGCCTGATTTCCTACTTCCTAAAAGTCCGAAAAAAATTAGGAGAAACAAAAGAATGCATAATTAAGGGAGCTGCTGTTTTGTGTTTTTATGTGTTTTGGTGTTGATCCTGACATATTTCATGCTGTCTGAAGACCAAGACAAAGAAACTATTCAGGACTCAGTATTCTGATGCACCATCTAATGGCCACGACGGCTCCATCAGTTCATGTGACCGTAAAAGTGCGTGTGACATTTGTGTGAGGTCGCGGCGGGCAAATATTTTTACAAGTAACATTTCAGAATGCCAAGCACAATTTACTAAGAGAATAAATAAAAAAGAAAAACGTAATCCTACTAGAAGTCAGCGTGAAGATAGAGAGAGGGAACTTTATAGAATTTTTCCGTTTCTGTCCAGGTGTTCTCCTTTTAACCACCTTGTATAAAGCTGCCTGGATGGAAACCTCCTGTGCCCTGTTAACATACAGCCCCTGTGTGTTTTGTCTTTCAGGTGGGCTGCGCTGACCTGGAGCACATCGCCGCCAGCATGAAGGCCCTGCTGGCCCCCGGAGCCACCGATGGGACAGAAATGTTTGGAGCCCTGCCTCGGCCCCGTCTCAACACAGGGGACTTCTCCCTCAAGCACTGAGAGAGAGAGGGAGAGAGAGACAGAGAGAGCGAGGCGACTTGAGAGAGAAAGAGAAAGGGATAGAGATAGAGGGAGAGGGTCAGAGCGATAAAAGAAACGTGGAGAGAAGTTGTGGTGACAGGAGGAGAGCTGGATTGTCTGGCAGATGTGACGTACAGTATGTGAAACCGTGTAAAAGCTAGTACCTCCATTTATTTCTCACTAACCAAAATTAACGGCACATGCTTTGAGGAGTAACTGACAAAAAGACGTGTTGTTATAAACACTAATAACATTTTCAACACTATACTCCCCCTCCCTCCTCGTCACTACACATTTTCACAATACTAGTTACTACACATCCCACCACACTACATTAGGGCCTCAAAATGTGTCTGTAGTGACCCACTGCACTGACCAACACACACACTAATAAAACAGGGTGTATAAGTAGTCTAACTGACACGAGCGATCGTTAATTGTTACGAACCTTGTGTGCTGATTGGTTTGCTTTGGTAAAATTACCTGTGAAGTGATGAGAACTAGGGGAACAGCCATCTGTACCCGGGTTGATCGTTGGCTCCGGTGCTGCATGCCAACTATCAGACACCATTTTGAGCGATGTTAGCATTATTAGTGATGTGTTATCCTAAAAGATATATGGCAACGCGTTTGAACGCTTCTGAACCGTGGCGTAAAATTAGGAAAACTTAAACTCTTTTGTGAAATACGCTTCTGTGCGTTCTTTCCAAGAGTTGGCTGAGAAAAATTATACCTCGCTTAATATAGAGTGGAAGCAGAGGGAAACAGCTACTCTGGCTCTCTTTAAAGTTCAAAAATACACATACCAGCTCCTCTAAACCTCACTAATTAACTACATTTTTCTATAATCGGCACACATACATATCTGTTTCCTGTATGTGTTTCACACAAAGAACGAAGAAGAAAAACGCCCCATTATTTAGTCCCATCATTTAAGTCCTCTAAATTAGTTACGTTCTTGGAGCAACTTAACAAAAGAAACTAGATGCAAACTGCGTCTAGCTCATTTTTAAATTAAGTGAATTGATTATATTAGTGTTAATATTGGATTTAGGTGTAACTGCCAGGGATGGTGGTTTTGCCGTTGCTGTCAGAAATTCCTGAGAGCTTTAACTCAGAATTACAACCTGGAGGGTGACATGAATGTATTTCGGGACTCATGAACGTAACCATAGTGCTAGTGTCCGGTAACTTCAATGTGCAGACAACAGGACCCTGGGAAATCACTTTCAGGTGCGTGTTGTTTGTCAAGAAGTCTTCCAACATGTAAAAAAAAATTACATTTCTGTGTTAACAGACTAAACAAAATAATAAGTAAACCAGTAAATTGGTGAGCTCTGATAGTGTTGATAGGTGTATTTTTGGACTTTCAGAGAGAACCAGGTTAGCTGGTTTCCCCTGCTTCCCGTCTTTATGCTAAGCTAAGCTAATGCTCATGGCCATGCTGTCATTTAGCACAATATATGCTAAAGTTTTAGCATCAGGCACAAGAGCCAGTGATCTTCCTGGATCACATGGATGTTTTCTCTGCATGCTCCTGTTGTTTACCGGGTAAGTTGACCAACAGGCCAGTTGTTGTCACCCCTGCCCCCATTAAAAGAATTAAACCCAATCTATTCCTTAAAGGGGTAGAAACCAGACTTAACATGAAGCTTGTGGCTTTTTCAAAATGTGAGCGGAGGACACCAGCACCTCCTCATAACATGCCTATTTGTACTTTTACTTTTGCCAATGAATGACTGACTGATAGAATGATTGTAAATCAATACTGAGTTATAGGGGATGGTGGTTTTTTTGCTCCAGATATCTTGTTGAAATGACTGAATGAATGAGAAACTGACTGTGTGAGAGAAAGAGAGAGAGATGGGTTGATTTGAGTGGAACAAATGTCCATCTCTGACAATACAAAAACAAATAAATGTTCCGTTAAGTACTTTTATGTTTCAAATAAAGGAGCAACACCAAGAGAATAATGACTTGTTGTGTTTGTGTTTGAGGATGCAGTATTATTAAAGGCCTCTAGAGGGCCTCAGCGCTCTACTGTGCAAGTGAAGAAATTTGGTTAATATCTGATCTCGGCTCAACTCTGATTTGCAGTGTCACACAAAAATAACTGAGTTTTACTACACAATAATTGGATTTATTGACTACATTCAGCACATAAAAAACATACACACCTTTAAGTTAAGCAAGCATTCTAGTACATGCAATGTTACATAGAACATACAGGACATTGCCTAAAAGTTACATAAAATATATGAATAGATACACAACAGTAAATAAAATAATTGGGCATCTTTGGATATAATGTGATATGAATAAGCTTTCTTCATGCGAACACAATCTACAAATACGTCATAATGCTCTTCAGTTCTGCTTTACAGCTCCTTATCTTGTTCCCCAAACATCACTACCTTTCCATCTCCCTCCTGATGCCTTCTTAAATGTACACTACTTGACCCTCTACGTGTCACTGATCCCCTTTCCGAATATGGCATAACGAATTTGTGCCAACCCAGAACCCGGGGTAAACCTTCTCCTGGATTTTGGCTTGGAACTTGTGAATCAGGCGCACCTCCTTCTCGGCCTCTCCCTCCACCAAGAGGAACTTGATGATGTTGGCGGGCTGGTCGATGTAGATGCCCATGGTGGTCACCAGGGGGAGCTGGACGTCCACGTTCTCGCCGTTGTGCCAGACTTGGTAGCAGGAACCAGACCAGCCGGCGCCCCATGAGGTGCTGTTCTCGCCGATGCCACAGGCGCCGTCCTGGACCTTGCGTGGTGCAGTCTCGCAGACCAACCCGATCACCACCCAGCCATCGTAGTCCACCTCCCAGTAGCCTCGGCGGCCCAGCATACTGTCCTTACACAGCACCTAGATAAAGGAGGAGGGAGACACAGGATAAAATACAGTTACTCAAGCACTGTAATTAAGTAAAAGTTTGAGATGTCTGAGTATTGTACTACACACATTTCACAGGTGGAGTTGCAAGTCACTTTGTAGATTTTAGCTTAAGAACACATGATAATCTTATAAAATACAATGGAGGGTAAAAGATAAACCTTCTTGACTTTTGTTATGTCTCCTTGCCCTATTTCAGATGTCAATGAGTTGTTAGCAGTTCCACCAAAGAGACATTTCTTCTCTAAAATCCTCACATAGTTTCACTTAAATACCAGCTCAAGGCCTAAATACATACAATTATATTAAGAATTCACAAAAAAGCAAAGATTAAAGTCCAAAAAATTGTGTATCAGAACTTTGTTTTTGTTTTTTTGTTCAATAATTCTGGACATTTATCTGCAGGATTAGTACTGAAAGGACCTTTACTTGTACTGTTTCTACATTGTTGTATTGGTATTTTTAACTGAAGTAAAGGATCTCAGTACTTCTACAACTGAAGGAGACATCTCATTGACATCTAACAGCCTGCAGTTGCTCAGATAGTCTAAACATGACTAATGAACTGAGGGTGTAATAGAAAATGGTATATATACATCTAAAAGAACATAGAACAAATTATTATTTTAGTCTCCTCACTAAAATCTAAGACGAGATGTTGCCAAACCGGTCCAATTGCCAAGCAACATGTGTGTCCATGTGACTGATTGCTGCATTGTTTGGTTGTAATTGGACAACGTGACCCAAAATAAAGATAACTTTTTTCCCCTGACAATTTAAACCCAAGACAACAGTGTGTGTAAGGCCTACCTGTGGAGAGTGTTCATATCTCTCAGGTCTGTTGGGATATGGGCAGACTGCCTCAGATGTACGGGCCACCTTGGTCCCGCCCTCTGAAATCCACAACAGTTTCTGTGCAGTTTTATCATCCAGAGAGAGGGGGACCCAGTCTGAGAGAATGGAGAGGGAAGATATACATGCAAAGTGGGATAAGCATAAGGGTGGGATATAAAGATCTGAATAAAAAGGAATATAGAAAATATCCCATGTCTATTCACATGACAATTTAAGTCAAGTATGAATAAAGCCCACTGGTTAGTAGGGAAATTGAGAATTTATTATAAAAAATCTTTTTATAAGTTGAATTTAACCAGAATGAATTTGTAATCTCGTCTTGTTCAAATGTATTGCTCACAGGTGCAAATATTTACATTTACAAATAGGAAATACAACAAAATGTCCATATCATTATTATTATTATTATTGATTTGCACTTAAAAGTCCAGTGTGTAACATTTAGGAGGCTCTATTGGCAGAAATTGAATATAATATTTATAGGTATGTTTTGATTAGTTTATAATCACCTGAATATAGGAATAATTATGTTTTTATTACTTTAGAATGAGCTGTTTTTATCTACAGATGCTGCGGGTTGCCTTTCATGGACTCCACCATGTTTCTACAGTAGCCCAGAAAAGAGTTTCGCACACAGCTGGGTTTCTCCTGCACACCTACACACAGCCCGTTCTCATTCCCAGGTTGACAAACACAGATGTGAGTGATGTTCAGTTAGCTGCAATCTGCAACTTCACCACTAGATGCCACTAAATCCTCCTCACTGGTCCTTTAATTCACTCACTCACTGAAAATAGTAAACTAACAATCCTGCAATAAGAGGGGATAAACTCCTACTGTTTTCATTCCGTTGTATTTATTCTAAAAAGAAGAATATTGTAAGGAGATGATTCATTCTTTTTCAATTTGTATTTAGATGAACATTGTGTAGGATTGGTCGTACAGTAGCAGATTGCAACTCTGTTCTGGTCTACTGTGGAGTGAAACCTTTGGCATCTGTAGATGAAAACGGTACTAAAACACAACAATTCCTATTTTCAGGTGATTATACACTCATTAAAATATACTTATTAATTTCATATTCCATTTCTGCAAATCTCCTGTTTCACTTATCTTTATATTAATCTTAAAAAACTTAAAACTTAAAAATGTCAATATTTACTTCCTAAATTGTTTTAATGTATTTCATTTTATTAAGATTTAATGAATTTATTACATTTATCTTGGTGCACTAAAGACTCCACATTCTAGTGCACTACTTAGCTAATAGTTCTAATTAATATTGTGAGGCCATTAATTGGCAATAGTTAGCAACAAAACAGTTTTATTTTTCTATTACATAAGTGATTTAAAATGTATTTCCTGAACATAAAAAGGCTTACATTTCATGAAGTCAGCCCTGGTGGTTGGTTCAGGGACATTGGGCTCATATGGCGGCAGCTTTTCTGAGGGGACAGACAGGAGGGATAAAAAAATGCATGAAACTTTATCATGAGTGGATAATCAAATTCACATTTATTTAATGGCATGAATGATTCTCATTATCTTTTGGCAATTTACAAAGAGTTCCCAACACGTTGCTTTTACCTTCTGCAGCGCTGCTGTTTTTCATTCCTGGAAAAAGAAAAAGAGTTTTAGTGCAATCAACCGCAGTTTGTGTATAAGAAAAAAGATTACGTTTTATGGCCTCTCCTCACAGATTCTTCTCACATTGGATTGTATAAAAAATATGTAAATACACAGCACTATTCAGGGTAGCACATTAAACTCCACAGGGCCATGAGTGTGAGTGATTCACGTTGCCACCTCACAAAATACACCTGGTTGGGTTTTTTTGGGGGGTAAAATAGTTAGTAGCAATCTATAACAAAATGATTTGCTTATTTTAATTAAAAGAAATATGAATAAACTATAAAAAACAATAAATCATTTATTATTTTCTTTGGTATTTTTGTCATATACAGATATACAATGATGATTGCTGGGTAATATGAATGTTGTCAAGTCTTTATTTGATCATGTGATGAGACAAAATGATATACAGTAGTAATTAGAACACATTGTTGGTAAATATATATATATATATATATGCCTAATTGTGTGTGTGTGTGTGTGTGTGTGTGTGCGTGCGTGTGCTAGTGATTATCGTGCAAAACAGCCAGTCATAATAGCGTGCATTGTGGCCTGTCATAACCACTTTATGCCACTGAAACTCCAGCCAGCTACTTTTCATCTTTTTCTGTAACCTCTCCCTTCATCTGTGCTTCTGTCGGGCTGCCATTAATCTTCAGAAAATCATCTACTGCTCTCAACATACAGTAGATCACAGAGGAGCTATGTCGGCTCTGTACTGATTCATGAAGTTTTCCCCCGTGCTGGCTAAGGTTCAGGTTTCAGCATAAGGAATTCTGGAGCCAGAACATACATAACACAAATCCTAGCCACTGACAGCGGGAGTCTAACTCTAAGAATATACTTTCTGTACGATGCCGTTACTTCAGACTGCGGAGGGCATGTGTGTCAGGCTGTAGGCTGATGTATAATCTCTGTTATTTGTTCCTCCTCCAGTTTGTTAGTCACTTGCGTCTTCTGACATTCAGAGAAAACTGTGTTCCAAAAAATCTGGTCATGCTCCGGCACCCCACTAGGTAAGTCATCCAGTTACTGTTTCTCCAATTTCACACAGACAACTAACTCCTCATCATTCTTACTCATCTATCAGATTGTTATTTCGTCACATTAGCTTGATTTGTGTGTCCTTTGCTGTTGCCAAAATTAGACAGAACAACCTCAATATTCTTGATTTCCATATAAGGGAAGCCTCCTTCTGTGATTTTCATATTGCTCGTAGCTGTGTAGTAAATGCATTATACTTAATT